GGCTTTATTAACCATACGGGTTTCGGGCGCAGTTCGACTAACTACTTTCCCGATTATATCTGAAAATCCATAAAAATACAATTTTATAAATTTCATAATCATAATACATGAAATGTATTTCATATGTGTAAGTATTTAAGTTATGTAAATGTAAATGACTCTTACCAACTAAAAAGACTTGGTCAGCAAACTTTAATTTGTTTTGAGTACNGTAACTTCCATCATTTGCTCTGGGGCTTTATTAACCATACGGGTTTCGGGCGCAGTTCGACTAACTACTTTCCCGATTATATCTGAAAATCCATAAAAATACAATTTTATAAATTTCATAATCATAATACATGAAATGTATTTCATATGTGTAAGTATTTAAGTTATGTAAATGTAAATGACTCTTACCAACTAAAAAGACTTGGTCAGCAAACTTTAATTTGTTTTGAGTACATCTTCAAAACTCTTAAAGTAAGATCGAAAATTAGGAAATCCATTTTCCGATAGTTTTTGAATCTTGGTCTTTCCCAAAAATTGGAGCATGCAAGGGTGATTGGTAGTTTTTGTGCCTTGGAAATTGCGTATAACCCTGACCTCATGATTAAGTAAACCACATTTTCTTGCAAAGCTTGTTTGAATGTGCTTATAGTAGTATCTTTGACCTGAGCATGGATCCGATCGCCCTAACAACAAATATAAAACGTTAATCTATAATTAAATTTATTTTTTCTGTTTAAAGATTTATTATATGTAAAATATAAAACAATGTAGAACTAACCTCTGAGTCGTGGAAAACAATATCCAATGATTCCGGCTCTCGAGAATGAGCAGGAACGTGGTAAACTCTAATCGCCCTTAGCTTCATCATCAACAATCCGGAATTTTCATGAACATTTTTTAGGGCGGTAATCATTCCCATGTTCGTACAAAAACGATGGTGGAGCACCGATTAATTAAAACTCTTTAAAACTCTCGTTTCCTGAACACTCGTTTACTTTTCTGGCCCGGTAAGGTAGGGTATTTATACTACATGAATTTATGAATTTCGGTGTTCCTTTTTTATTACCATTTTGGTATACAATTTAAAAATGTACATAACTCTATACGTATTTTCCTATTTTTAATTAAAAATTAAAATACACGGTTATATTAAATTACCATTCGTTACCTTTTTTATACACGTTTTTAATAGTTTATTTCTAAGTTTTTACAGGTTATGTTCAATGTGCCAGTATAAACTTCAAACATATTTTTTAGTTAGCTTTTTTATATACGTTTTTAATTACCTTCAATTACCATTCGTATAATTAATTTACCATTCGCATAATTTATTTCACGTTTATATTAAATTACCATTTGTTACCATTTTAATTACACAGTTATATTAAATTACCATTTTTAGTTGAGCATTCGTTACCTTTTTTATACACGGTTTTTATACCTTTTTTTATACACGGTTATATTAAATTACACGGTTATATGTTGAGCACAATTACACTAATATTATATTCACGGTAATATTAATTGAGTAATTACTTAATTACGATAACTAAACTAAATAAAATTTCCATTCGTTACCTTTTTTATACACGTTTATATTAAATTACCATTCGTTACCATTTTAATTACACAGTTATATTAAATTACCATTTTTAGTTGAGCATTTGTTACCTTTTTTATACACGGTTTTTATACATTTTTTATAAACGGTTATATTAAATTACACGGTTATATGTTGAGCATAATTACACTAATATTATATTCACGGTAATATTAATTGAGTAATTACTCGATTACGGTAACTCCATTAATGATATGTTTAATTACCATTTAGTAATTACCATATGGAGTGAACAATTACCATTTTCTCTAGAACACCAAATGGGCGGGAAAAGAAAAATGAGAATCCATGGCTTTTTAAATAATAGATA